CGAAAATCGTTGTCCTCAGCGGTCGACGGACTGTTCGCTCCCCACAACGGAGTGTTCAATAAAATCAAGACTTTAGAATTTCTTACCATCAAGTTCCTATCTGGGAAGAAGAAAAACTCTATACTGCTTTCGAAGCCAATGGGACGCAATATCAATTCCGAAGATTCCCGTTTGATGTAACCAATGGTGTAGCATGCTTTCAGAAAGTTATTGACAGTATCGTCAAACGAGAAAAACTACCAGCTAGTGAACAAATGTATTTTTCAGTAGATATGGAGGCCTATGCTATAGTTGAGGCGTTAAAGAAAGGGCGTCATTTCCTTATTAGGAAGCACTTCAAACTAATAACAGACAAAAAATATGTTTCCTTCATGTTTAATAACCAACATACAAGTAAAATAAAAAATGAAAAGATCTTAAGATGGCGATCAGAGCTAGCTTGCTTAAGCTATGATATAGTATATCGTCCGGGCACCGAGAATACTGTCAGCGATACTTTCACCAGAATATGCAGTTCAACTACAGGGAATACTTTTGACATCCACAATGCTTTGTGTCACCCTGTTACCACAAGAATGATTCACTGGGTAAAATCGCGTTATTTACCTTTCATGAAATTCGAGAAACTACTGCTGCTTGTCCGATTTGTGCCCAAGTAAAACCCAAGTTTGTTATATTTCAGAAATCTAAATTAATAAAAGCGACTACTCCTTTTAAACGACTTAATATCAACTTCAAAGGACTTTTACCATCTACATCAAGAAACATATATCTTTTTACTATTATCAATGAGTATTCCCGGTTTTTATTTGTCTTTCCGTGTTCCGACGTGACTTCTAGTAGTGTTATAAAATATCTTTCCAAGGTTTTTCACTTTTCGGAATGTCATCATACATCCATTCAGACCAGGATGCTTCTTTCATGTCATCTGAATTAAAACATTATTTGCATTCTAAAGAAGTAGCAAAAGTCGAAGCACACCTTATAATCCAGAAGGAAATGGTTAAGTTGAAAGATACAACGGGATTATTTGGAGAAATATAAATTTGGTTTTAACCCTTAGGTACCTGTTCGGGGTCCTGTTGGGACCCCAAGTTATATTTTCATCAAATAACTTTTTTATCTGAACACATTGGCAACAGCAGTATTTTAGTACGCTGCAGCACGTTATGGTGATAGTGTCTAATAATAGAAGTCAGAAAGTAAGTGGAGCCCCGCTGAGACCCTGATTCGGTATTAAGCGATACCAAAAATTTGTGTTGATAAATACGATTTTTTTTATAGAATTTAGCATTATAAGAGAACCAGGCCACTAACACAAAAAGAACATGAAGAACTAATCTACGATATTGACGACTGAGGCTTTCAAATGGAGTACGAAAGTGATGAAGAGTCGGAAAATGAGATGGCTCAAGATTTGATGACAGAAAATGTGTCGTAAATGGAGGATAACTTAGAAATACAAAGTGAAGAGGAATCAGATGAAGAACCGAGAGGACCTCAAGAAGATGCTGGGGAAGGAGAACCTACGGAACCTCAAGAAAATGTTGAGGAAGGTAGTAGTATAAAATATACTTCCAAATCAGGTTTACAGTGGAATATGCACCCTTTTGTAATCACTAGAAGACGCCAAAGGAATATTGTAAATGCACGTCCAGGCACTACAGATTACAGTAAACACTGCAGTACATTCTTAGATATTTTCAACGTCTTTTTGACAATGGAAATGAAAGAAATTATCTGTCGTCATACTACTGAAGAAGATACTAGAAATTTTGATGAATGGAATACCAAAAATCCCAACAACAACAGATATTAGACAAATCTTGAGGAAGATGAACTTAACAGTTTTTTAGGTGTACTTCTAAAAGCAGGCGCACTAAGGTGTAGAAAGGAATCTACTAGGGAAATGTGGTCTACTAATACCTCCATACGTCGATCATATTTCATAGCTGCTTTAGCGCGGGATAGATTTGAGCAAATATTATTATTTTTAGGCTTTTGATGACAAATCAACCAGAACTAAGCGAAAGGAAGAAGAGAAGTTCGCAGCAAAAATACATATTTGGGACATGTTCGTTGATAATTGCAGAAAGGCGTTTGAACCGTACGAAAATATCACGACTGACGAATAATTAGTGTGTTTCCGGGGAAAATGCCCATTTAGACAATATATAAAATCCAAACCTGGACGGTATGGAATAAAAATTTGGGCAGCCGCTAATGTTAAAACGTCATATTTATGCAACCTACAGGCACAGAATAGTGGTTATTCTGTGCTACAGGTGTATACTGGAAAATCTCGCACGGATATAATAGAGAAGAATCAAGGTTTTCGTGTCGTGTCAGATTTGGTAAAACCGTACCAAGGCAGTTGGCGAGGGATAACCACAGATAATTTTTTTTCAAGTGTTCCATTGGCAAATTATTTATTGACGAAGAAACTCACATTACTTGGAACTGTTCGCAAGAACAAGCCGGATACACAAAATTTCCTAAAAGTAACATCCAGGAAAGTTGAGTCTTCTATGTTTGCATTTACTAAAAATCTAACGATCGTTTCTTATATTCCGAAAAAGAATAGGATGGTACATCTTATACCAAGCCAACATGATGATGATAAAATCTGTGCAGACAACAAAAATAAGCCACATATGATTTTAGATTACAATGCAAGCAAGGGTGCCGTTGACAATGCCGATAAGCTCATTAGAGAGTATTCGTGCTCCAGAAAAACAGCTCGATGGCCGTATAGGATATTTATGAAGATGCTAGATATTTGTGCTCTAAATTCTTTTATTTTGTATGTTAAAAAAATCCTGATTGGCAGAAGAAAAATAGCTCGCGACGACGATTGTTTCTCTTACAATTAGGAGATCAGCTTACGCAGGCCAATATGGAGAAAAAGTCCCACTATAAAAACCATAAGGAGCATGTTCAATCGACTCTACGAGATTGTGGAATAGTAGTGTAAGATCAACATGTTCCTAAGCCAGCAATTCCGGCTAGAAAACGAGCCAGATGCTATCAGATGCTATCAGTGCAAGTTAACATAACGTGCGCACTATGTAGGAAGTTTGTATGCGAAATTCATAAGAAAAAAGAGCAAAAAATTTTATGTACCACTTGTTCTTCAAACTGAAATATAAACAAACATCCAGTTGATTGAATTATATAAAAGTTTTACGTTTAGTTTTCATGGAGTAACATTTTATTTTCATTTTTTTATTTTATAAGTTTTTCATTGCAAACCGCCATTATTTGCCTTGTCAACCATTCTATACTTTGTGTTAAAATTAAATTTGTAGAAATACATTAAAGTGTATTATTTTTCAAAAATGCATGAAAGTATTTGCAAAAAAGACAAATTCATTAAAAACTACACAATGTGAGCTAGTTTTAGATGAAGCTCTGCATTCTATTCTCTCCTTACTTTGTACCTCTATAAATTGCACTCCTCCCATGAAACGATGTTTTTTTTTTCCAAGAAAATCTACTTTTGGAACTACTATTCCTTTGTGGCTCTCAATTCCAGTTCCAGTTTTTATAAAAAATCAGGTCCGAAATAGTAAGTTTGATCCTTTGGTGGATTAAGCTGAACATTTGGCCCCAAGAGGAGACTTAAATCTATTAAGCTATAAAAATATCGAAATTCAAAAAATTACAGAAAATATTACCAATATCCCATCTCCTAGTTTCTCCAGGATTCCCGATATTTACGTAACTCTCAATGATGCCTCCTATACTTCTAATATCTCAAAGACTTGTATTCCTGATAACAGTGATAAGCCAGTTACCTTTGAACATGACAACAATCAAATCGTTTTTGTTCAGCGGCTTCCTATCATCCAACAAATTCGACATCCACGAGAAAGAAGACTTCCAAAATATTCAGATGACTACATCTCAAAATAACGCCGGAGAATGTAATGAAAAACTTTATTCGTGTTTCTCATATTAGTTTTGTACCTCCTACATGGTTTATTTATTGGTTGTTATAGAGTTATCATATTATTTACCTCACTAAAATTATGTTCGTAAAAGCCTAATTTCAAAAGGAATTTTCATAACATTGACAAGGGGGGTAGCCATGTGTGAGTTGAGGTAATTTTAAGGTGAAGGGGTGATTGGTTCATGGCCCAAATCTTATATAATAAATAATAAATATTTCTTCACTCATGGTCTACATCTTATTACCTATACCCTGTCATGGGTTTACCCAAGAATTTTTTTGTTAATACTTGCCACCACCTGTAGAGGCCTTAACTTGACAGGTCTCCTTTCAAAAATGTTAGTTTTTTGAAAAAACAACAAGGTTGTTTAAAATAAGCCTTATCTTTTAATCTATTTAATGTATGTGATTTGTTTTGTATGGTCTTGAATATTTTAAATTTTTACTATTTCAATTGACTAATATTTGTTTTTTCAAATATTTTTAACTTTTTATTACTTGTAAACTTTGTTCATTTTACAATTTATTTCACCCCACATTTGATGAAACTTGTTTTGTAGTATTCCCTAGTGGATGGAGAGTATGGTGAGTTTTCTCTTTTTTACTATTTTATATATCGTTTGCTCCAAGTTAACACACCTTACACCACATTTTCTCCTTTCCACTAGGCGAGCCTGAAGATGAAGTGATGACACTTCGAAACCGGTCGCACTTAATGTTTTGTTAAATAATTAAACATTGACTTTCCTTGTGAGATATAAAGGACTTTTTCTCCCCCTTCACCTTAAAATTTTCATGACAGTTTTCAATTGATAGTAAAAGACACTACCAATAAATACATTTTTTAAAGTTGTTGAATATATCCAAATTAAAAATATTTTAACGTCCTATCTATGTAGTTTAGTTGTTTACCCGAGTCTAAGACATAAATTCACAGAATTTTGTCTCGTAACCCGAAAATATTTAATAACCTCAAAAACTCTTTATTGCGTTTATAAACATCAAAAGTATTTTGATATAAATAAATTATATTAATAAATAATTGTGACTAACTTACCCGAAAACCTTCTGCTTCCGATAATAAAAAATAGAAACATCCAAACCAATGAGCAAGTATCAAAAGAATATGAATTAGATTTATCACTCTCCATAAATTCGGCCAAACAGTTCTGGACTCTACCATATAATAATAATTAACGGCACGATATACCTGAAAACAACAAACAAATGGTTATTATTTTCTCATCACCTACTTGGTAATAAGGACTATAAAAAAGGGCGTACCTATAGTACGTACCTTTAAAAATCTCGGACATCTAAGTAACGGATGCCATCCTAAGCTAAATTGGAGAAGATCGAGCGGACATAGGGCTGCCAGGTCCAGCAAGAAGGCACGAGAGCGTAAGTAGTGACAGGCCAATTTTTTCGAATCGTACACCATCAGCCCCTGTTCCAAATAACCGGTACGAAGCTGCACGGCCAGGTCCAAAATGAACACCAAATCACTCATGGAATCACAGGTTAGCCAAAAACTTGAAATCATTTCCTGTAAGAATTAAATAGTTAGTAAAGTAGCACAACCAAAAATATATTTGGTTACGAACAAACCAAATTGCGTAAATAATAATGTGCAAAAAGCGGGTATAGTACTCCGAGCAATTACTAATAGAGGGAGCGTGAAAACGAGTTTGTAGGCGATTGTTGTGTTAGCAACATCTGTAGAGGAAGTGAGGAAGCGGGCACAAGGGGGAAGGTAAACATCCTTCTTGTTCAGTGGCGTGTCATTTATCTATAAAAACACACATTGTCCAAACGTTTAAATTGTAAAAAAAAACTAAAAAATTTGCTAATTTTACTATATTTAAAAAGAATACCGTCTTATATGTGTCTAATGCAGGAAATGAAACAAAATCACTGTAACGGTCTATTTTTTTCAATTGAAGAATAAAACCTTAAAATCAATTTTATTATATATAAATACAGTTGCGACTAGTTTCGGCCTTACAGAAACATCTTCAGGCCTGTATACAATAATCTTTAATTATTATAATAGGTTGGTCACTTACGAATAACATTAAATAGTATAAACCACAAAAATGGATCCATATTGTAGCGTTACAGCATTATAGAATTAAAGCTGTGAAAATAAAAGAGCAGTGCAAACGTAACTAAAAATAAGAAAACTGAGTACGGAATCTACAAGAGATGAAAATGAGCAATAACAAATGCATTTAAATTGCTCGGGATAACAAATAAAGCTGATAATGTAGTGGTATAGTCCCCGTCAAAGAAGGTCTAGATATGTTAAAGAGGACGGCGTTTTCTCTGTAAATCTGGAGAATGTAAGAATGAAGGGAAGACGAATCTTGCTGGCTCAGGTGTAGATGAAAGCTCCAGTAAATATCGTCACTTTCGTCTAATTTTTAATTCTCTCTCACCGGCACCGTTTCGGCTTTATCTTCGAAATTCATTTTTAAAAGGAAATAAAAGTAATCATTCATACAAGCATATAATAAAACAATATGAATTCATTATATTTAATAAGCTAATAAACGTTTGTTTCAATGAAAAAAAACATATATGGGAATATAAGAAATATATAAATAGATAAGATTAATATCAAAATCAATTTGAAAATACAACAGATAATGAAATGAAATAAATTAATACAAGTACAAATGAAAAGTTAATAACATACCTTCTAAAAGTAACACATTTTAAGTAGATATATGTTTAAAGAGTTTATTCCTGAACATAACTAATCTAACGTTTTTTCCTCTTTTTAATATTATGAGGGTTTTTGTAGTTGAAATGAAAATTATAATTTATTTTGGTCCTAATAAAAATTTAAACATAGGTTATCAAAGAGTAAAATACATAATAAAACTTCATAATCTTAAATCGTTATCAAAAATTATTAATGGTAAAACTTCAAACAATAATTAGATTCTTAAACAAATTTCTAGTTTTTGTTTAGCAAAAGACTTTTTTGCCTTCATCGGTTGCCTCTGCCACTTTTCTTTTAGTAGTTTCGAGGAGAATTTTCCTATGGAAACTAGTAGAACCATCAATTGATTGGTAAAATTTTGATATTTTGAGTCTGGTAAGTCTTGTTAAACTTTCTTCTTAGGAAGCTGTAACCTAATGGAGAACAAAAATTTAATGTTAGATCAAAAGCTCTTAATTGAGAATTATATTTGCAAAGGCCGTTTTAATAATATATTCAAAAGTTCTTGGAATCGTTGTTAACAGAAACCTGCAAAAAATATATCATTTTATTCTTAAAATATAAGATATCACACAATGCACATTCATATAATATCATTGTGCTAGAAAAATACTAGGTAGGTACTGAGACAATTTAAAAAAAATATTTCGAGAAACTCAACTTTTAATGTCATCATTGCACTTAACTTTTTTATTGCTAAATTATTAATACTGTCGTTTTGAGTAGTTCGTTGTGATTTGTATAATATATATTATAAAAACCTATCGTCAAAGTTAATGTGCCAAGTTTTTTTAATAATTATGTCCTTGTTATAGTAAAAACACATTTTTAAAGTTTTCTGGATTTATGCTTTAAATTATTGTACAATTGAACTGACTAATTTTGTGTTTAAGTAAAGGTATATCTCTTTTTTGTTATAACAGTCTTTGTATATTGTTCTAACTTTTAAGATAATCAGAGAAAACAGTAGACATCTTAATATATCCTATTTCACCAACAAAAATGTAGAATAATTAATCTCATATCAAACGAAAAAAGTCATTTTAGGATGTCCTAATAGGTTTTAACTTAAAAACTAAATAAAATGTATATTGCAACTGTGTTTAAATAAATGAATGTTTTTATACCTGACTATAGTACCAGACAAACATTTTTTTAGATAATAATGATCTGCATAACTCAAAATAGTCAAAATCCACATTATTTAAGTTGTTCTAGTATTGTTTTAGCATAACGATGTAAACTTCAATAATAAATATTCACATTTTTTTGGGACGTTTTTTAAGGAAATTAAAAAAAACATGAATAATGTGATATTCTTGTTTAGTATTGTACTATATAATATAGTTCATTAGGTAGTGATTTAGAAGCAAATTATGTTCTATTTATAGAATAAAAAATCACTCATAATATCTAAATATTTATACCTATTTATATTTTGGACAGGAAGACTATTTTGTTTTTGGCTCTGAATAGTTTTCTTAAGAATTTTAAAACCTTCCTTAGCTCTTTTGGGATATTCCATGCATATCTTAGTTCATTTTGTTTAAACCTAAAACAAATTAAGTACAAAAAATGAAAATTTAAACAATACACAAAATTAGTCTTTTAGATTATTTAAAAAAAAGTGTCAACAAAAAAATGGCTATGCCTTTTTCCTTAAACATTCTTTTTGAAATAAACTTACTTGCTGTTTTAGTATTTTAGTAGCAGATGAATATAGTGTAGAAGTGGTGACAGGATTGATTATTATACTTCTTTCGTCGAAATTGCATTTTTCTTTAATATTTTCCTCCCCTGCGGTCTATAATAAAAATGTTCATTAACATAACAAGTTATTCAGGTGGTCACTTGTTGAATTCTTATATTTTGGAACCATGTATTTCTTTCTCATATCAAGAAAAGAAAACCTAAAAAAATAACAATAAACTTTACAAAGATGTGATATTAAAATAATAAGTAATTAACCTTTACTATAATCATTATGAGACAGACGGATGAAGACGAACTTAACTCTTAATTTTAATTTTTCGATAAGCAAATAAGAAAGTTTAATTGCAAATTAAAGGTGATTGCCTAATGCACCGCCTCTGATAATTAGGTTGTATCTGTACTTACTTATGATATTATCTTGAAGAAGCATTTTCATCAGGCCTTTTACACATAACGCATCTTTTTACCATATTATTAGAGATAATAAATCTTAAATATACATTTAAAACCCTTACAACGTTATCAGAACTGGCGCTCACAGGAGTGCGTTTAGAAACCCCGCACGACGCGTCTGAGCCCTATTCTAATGCATGTGGTCAGACGCGCCGTGCGGGGTTTCTAAACGCACTCCAGAACACTTCTGGCGCTGTCAAACTTGGCAACGCTGATTAAATAAGCCAATTACAGAAGAGGTATTTTCTTCCTCGGGGGGAGTAGATGTTGCTAACAAAATTTAGCGCGGGGAAGGGGGGAAGACTCCCTCTAGTAGTAATTGCTCGGAGGTATAGTACATGGAAATCGCACCAAAAAATAGGTGTTGCCTTACATCAAATGAGGTAGTTCTGATTTTTTATGAGTTGATAGTGATGAAATGATTAATGACAAACCCAATTTTTTCACCTCGAAAGCCCTTCGGATCACAGTTAAATACTTGAAAATTCATTAAAAGTTTTTTCCGTTTTTGTCAATTTTTACCACTAAGGACGTATGTTACGGTAAAAGTTACTATGAACACTTTTTAAGTAGACTAAATTTGCAGTTAAATGAGAATAATTTGGTTTTTACCCCTAAGTAATGGGTTTATTGAAAAAGTTACTTATTTTTAGTTATTAAAGTCCACTAAATTCCCAACAAAGTGAAACTAATTATGTCAATTTTCACCTCATAGTTCCTGAGACACAGCTGATCAAAGTTGTTGAGGTAAGTAAACAATTATGTAATTTGGTTTTGGTAGGCCAGATAGTTTGCACAATTTAAAAAAAAAGGAAGTATTGCAATTTTTTTAGTTGTCTGGTAGATTTTTACTGAAAGTGTGTTTTGTTTTTACTTTTATGTGTAACATAATATATATTAAATATTATAACATAATTTTTTTCTTTTATTTTCAACTATCACAGAAGAAACAATGCAACAAAAACCTGTGTCACCGATTTGATATTCAAACTAACATGTTAACGCCAATACCCTATGGATGTTATATTCGATGAAATAACCATTCCTTCAGTTGCTCAGGACAAGTTCCTATTAAATAAGAGGAATAAAGTTAGACTCATCGACATGCTGAAGGTTCACCTGGAGAAGAACAAAATTCTAACATTACAGGCAAAAGAAGATGCTGATAGGTTAATAGTAACCACAGTCATTTCTAGACCTAGGAATATATGCACCCAAAAAGTAGTTAAATATGCACATATATATGCCGCAAAATACTTCAATATATGCGTAAAAAATTGAAAAATATGCAGAGCATATGCAATAAGAGTAATTTGTTATTTGATTGAAATAGTTTATTAATATTTATTATTTGTTTTATTTTACAATACCTAATATAATACTTAATAATTATTTAATTATAACTAATTTTATTTACAAATCAACATTATTATAAAACGAATGAACAATTAGATGTTTTTCTAAATTTTCTGTATTAAATGATTGTCTCCTATCAGTAAGTATGTACTTGTACAAAGAAAAACTCCTTTCGACATCTACAGAAGTAATAGGTGCAAACTTAAATTTTCCTGAAATATCTGGATGAATAGTATTAATATCTTCAAAGTTACCAGCAACCTTGCGATTATCACAAAAATTGTACGTGCATTGAA